CTGTGTGAACAGCGCTTTATTGAATTTACCGGTATCACTGTGTGAAAGAGGCTAATGATTCCAATAATCAGTTTAAAGTGACACTGCATTCCAGTCCAATTCTTTATGCCTTTCACTCACAGCCCAAGACTGGTTACTCACTGAATCTAAGCAGGGCTGAGCCTGGTTAGTACCTGGATGGGTGACCACATGGGAAAACTAGGTTGCTGTTGGAAGTGGTGTTAGAGAGGCCAGCAGGGGGCACTCAACCTGTGTGAGTCCTAATGCCCCAGTAAAGTGAAGGGGACGTTATACTATGAGTGCCATCTTTAAGATGAGATATTAATCCAAGGTCCTGACTTTCTGTGGTCAATAAAATTCCCATGGCACTTCTCGTAAAAAGAAGTGCTTTTGAAAACACTAGCGGTTGGGTTTAGGGAAGAGGGTTGGGTGGGTGAATCGCTCAATCAGTCAGTCGACAGAGGTCTCTGGTGGAATTACGCGAGAACAGCAGGTGCAAATGGGACTCGTGCCAGAGAAAAAAATTCACTTAAAAAGCATAGACAGCGGCCTCTGGTGGATTTGCAAAAACAAAAACTGTAAAAAAAAAAAAATTTAAATACCTCCCAGGACATATTTGGCGCTCTCCGTAAATGTATATAGGGCTACATTTTCAGAATGAGCCCTGGTTAATATTTCTTTATTGGCCAAAGTGAGTTAAGTTAAAAATAATGCCAATGTAACACAAACTAGTGAACAATTACATAGGATTTTTCTTAAATAAATACATTTTAACCATTTTTATGGATTTATTGTATATTTTTATTTGTCAACAGACGTTTACACACATTTTTCTGTAAACATTTTTACATAAACAGACCTTGAGAAAGGACTTACCTCAATGAAATGGGTTTTTGCAGGCCCTCGTTTCTGCGTTGATCGTTTTTTTTTTTTTTTTTCTAATAGTCAATTGTGTTAAAAAATCAAGTGCTTTTCTAGTAGGATTCAAGAACAAGTAAAACAGGACTTTATACTTTCACTAGAGTAATATTTTTTAAGGTGCTCAACATGTGCACTTTATTCACCACTGCTAGCCGATCTATTTTCAGTCTACCTTAAAAGCTTTTATGTTATGACTAATATAGCCTGCAGGGTTTGAACACAGGTTAATTAACCTATTATTTGAATTGAAATTGTTCCCAGTTGTTTATGCAACTAATTCTTGTCAGATAAAGAAAAGCCACACTGACCCAATGGACCCTGATAATTACTTCAAATCTATAAGTGAAGTAGTTATTAGCAGCTTTGCTTTACAGGCAATTAATTGTGCATTATAGATCAGTTTTATAGTGTCGTTCATATATCAGTTGTTTTCATACAAGCTCAACCCTTAGACCTGCTTCTTGGAATTGGTTCGGCTTTAACCTGACATTGTTTTGAAATCTCCTGTAATGAAGCATATCCAATTGTAGTGCTGGCAGCGATTGCTCTTTGTATAATAGCTCTTCTCAAAGTTTGGAAACTGAGGGGGCCCTGGTACAGTTAAACGACGTTTCAGTCTTTTTGAACCCTAGTTTAGCGCACTCATACAGGCACTGGGAGCCCTTATGCGGTGGTCTGTGGTAATGTTACACAGCTGTGTGTCACTTTTGTTTCTCTTTCGAAGATCCAGAACACAAACTAAAGCCTTTGTGACCAAAAGATCAGTCATAGCAGGGGGCATTTTGGTTGTGGAGATCAGAATGATGTAATTAAGCTTATTAGATATGCAGGTTATAGCTTTGATTAGACCATGCCAATAAGAAGTATTTGCTCTTATTTGTGTACATTAACCTGCCACAAACAATGGAATGCAGAAAGGGCTATACTAAATGAGTTGAATACACATCTTTGGATATTTGCATGAATATACAGATACACTTAAATGTCTATAATAGATATAACAGCATCTACAACATATATATTGATCTTATTAATATTGTTATTTAAAAATAAAAAAAAGAAATGTTAGTTAAAAAAAAAAAAAGGAAATACACTGTATTAGTAAAACTACCAATGCAGTGATTTTAGTTTTTAAAATAAAACATGTATTTTTATAGTAACCCGAGTCTTCCTAAATGTGTGTATATTTCAAACTGAAATTGTTATTTTAAAGTACAAAACACAAAAATAGCTGAGTATTCCTACCTTTTAATGTAAGCTGCATTTCAGCTTCTTGCACTTCGTAACTTTTTGATTAAGTGGCTAATACATATGAGATTATATGATCTCATTCAAACGATTTAGTATGATTTGCTTATACCCCAATGACGGTTGGGTTTAGGGGCAGGGTTGGATTACTTGCCTCTTTTTTTTTTATTGTACATTTCATACGACTGAACTCGTACAGATTCGTATAAATTAGCCTCTAAACCGACAAAACGTAAATTACTTGCGTTTCCTCGTGCGATCGGGCTGGCCATGTCTTAGCAACTTTCTGCTAACAAAAACATAACTTTACTTAAGACTCTTTGTCGCAATATACCGGTATTTATGATAATCGCGATGTTCAAAGCAAGAAATACTGGTATTATATACCAATATTGGCATTTGGCTAATTCATATTAATCATATGATCTCATTTGTACAATTTAGTACAATTTGCTTATACCCCAATGACAGTTTTGTTTAGGGGCAGGGTTGGGTGCCATGCCTCCTTTTTAAAATCATACATTTTCGCACAACTGAACGAGTACAAATTCATATAAATTAGCCTCTTAACTGACAAAACGTAAAATATTTAAAAGGCACCTACTTTACCCCTTTTTTTAAGATTTAATATTAATATTATGGTTTATTTGAGTGTGCCAGTTTAGGTTCAGTTTAAAACACAGTTCAGATTTGTTTATTATAATGTGTTAAAAGTGTCATTTTGGGGGTGTGTACACAGGTCGCTGTTTAAGGGGTGTGTTGCTTCACATGAAAATTAGTTTTGACTTCCCGCCCAACGTAACAAGGGGGTGGAGCCAAGAGCTTCCCCGCTTTGTGTTTGGCAACAGACAGGCATACAGAGAGAATCAACATGAGTGAGAGGACCAGCATTCAGCCGAACATGTACGACTCGCACACAGACCAAGCAGACAGTACAAAATCATTTTTGTCTTTGTGTAGTTTTACAGCCAACTGTGTGCTAATTTAAAGTTCTGAGCTTGCGCACAGAGACTGATAACCACGCACACTGAATTAACTTTGACTGAGGCACCTGATGCGCCACTCAGAGCCGCAACACGGCACACCAGACGCGCACATTCATATGTTATTTATAATGAAACTATTCAGTTGCTGCTCTGTGGCGCGGCAGAAATATGATGTGTCCTTTGTCGTGGCTGGGCGCTGCGCACAGCCGCCGACTTGCGCTGCCGTTGTGTGTACCCTGAGAGAAACCCATGTTTAGAATTCTAAAATGCATGGTCCTGCAAACAGCTGAAGTTTAAGGTAGACGCAATGAAAAGTACACGTTTGCAAACCCACCTAAAGTTACAAACAATAATTCCGATAAGAGTAATCATAGAGCAATTTATAGATTCGTATAAATTAGCCTCTAAACTGACAAAACGTAAATTACCTGCATTTCCTTGTGAGATCAGGCTGGCCATGCCCTAGCAACTTTCCGCTAATTAAAACATAACTTTACTTAAGACTCTGTTTCTCGCAATATACCGGTATTGATGATAATCGCGATGTTTAAAGCAAGAAATACTGGTATTATAACCACTATTGGCATGTGGCTAATTGGTATAAAATTGTATGATCTCATTCATACAATTTAGTACAATTTTGTTATACCCCAATGATGGTTGGGTTTAGGGGCAGGGTTGGGTGCCACGCCTCATTTTTAAAATTGTTAAAATTGAACTAGTACAAATTAGCCTCTAAACTGACAAAGCATACAATACTTATACTTCCTCGTGAGATCAGGCTGGCCTGCAACTTTCTGCTAAGAAAAACGTTTGTTCGTTTTCTTGTCGGCTTAGCCCCCTTATTAATCCGGGTTCGCCACAGCGGAATGAACCACCAACTTATCCAGCACGTTTTTACGCAGCGGATGCCCATCCAGCTGCAACCCATATCTGGGAAATAACAAAAGCATAACTTTACTTAAGACTTGGTCTGTTGCAACATACCGGTATTGATGATTATTTCTATGTTAAAAGTACGAAGTAGCTACTAGTATTATATACCAGTATTGTCATTAACCACAGTTTTTAAAATGTAACAGACTCAACAGACTCAAAATACTGTAACTTAATGCAGAGATTGACAGGCAAAAATCGGATGATTTTTTGTTATAAATGTGCGATCAACAACCAAATGAACCAAAGATTTATATTAAAGACTAAAGCTTGAGTAAACATTTATATTTAATGGGCTTCATCCTAAATAACGGTGCATCTGTTTATCTAATATAATTTGTGGTTATAGTAAATTAGTAAGCTGTTTGAAAAAATATTGGAGGAAAAACCTAAATATTGTTGCGCGAGGCATTTATAACTAATAATAAATAAATTTATTAAATTATAGGCTAAAATAAATTTAGGCTATATTTAGGCTATATTATCTTTTTAGATAATTTCTGTATGATATTAAATACGACAGGAGAAGAAGCTTTGCTTACGGTTGTAAGGAAATACTGTTACTCCTGCAGTTATACACTGCCACCTGCTGGAAGAGGATTCATAATTTTTTTTTTTTTTTCGTTTTTTTAACTAGCATGTCTACTTTTGGTTTTTGCGTGGATCATGAATTAAGTGCATTTGTTGTCTCTAATATGAAATTACTTCAGATTTAATTAGACATCTTTTTTTTTGTTTCAAATAAAAAAGAATCAATAAATATGTAGTTTGTTTGGTTGGGTAAAAAAAACAAATAAAGTTAAAAAAAAAAAAGACTAAGACAAAAAAAAATGTTTTGCTCCAAGCTCTCTATAGATATTGCGGTATATTGATATTGTGAATTTTTTAGCCACAATAATTGTAGTGCAAAAAATCGAATATTAACCAGTTCAGACATAAAAAAAAATTACATAACTAAACTGGATGGATCGTCCTGCTCCAGAGGTTTTTGTGATTGACCTTCTGACCCCCTGCTGTTATGCCAATTACTGAAACAGTTTCTGTGGGCAACAAGACACAACGCCACATCGCAGCGTCCACATTTCCAGATGGTGCGCTTCTTTCAAAGCTTGCAGTACTGCCGTCCCTTTGTTGCAGTATCTGCTGTCCTACTTCTCTCCCACTTAGAGTCCGTCTCCTCATCCACAGAGGCTAGAGATTCGGGTAAACACTGTGCCCCTCTTGGTGCCACATCACTACCTTTTGGGACTCCACATAATTCTCTGGACAACTCCTCCATGAACTGTCCATGAGACATAGCCACAGTCTGTGCTGCCAAACACATCTCCTTGTGGAGTATATAGCTGTTGGTTGCTGCAATGTCGATGAAATGATACAGCAGAGTACGGTACCACCTGTTAGACCTCTTGTGGACAGAATAATACTGGAGGAGCTGGTCAGAAAGGTCCACACCACCCATATATTTGTTATAGTCCACCACACAGCGAGGTGATGCAATGTTTTTGATCTGCCAACTTCCAGTTTCTTTATCGTGGACATTCCTTGTGACGGTGTCTCCATCGAAGGCTTTGTGAATGGTTGAACACACCGAGACCTCTCTTGTGTCCATCCATTTAACAAATAGTAGTTTGTTCTGTCTAATCCATCGAATTGAACCCCTGGGGCTCCGTGAGGTGAGTGCGTTTTGCTTTGTTTCCCGGACATTCTTACGCGAGTCCTTAAAAGTGCCACAGGCCACAAAACCACTAGCATACAAGTCCCTAAAGAGTTTTGGGCTTGTGTAAAAGTTGTCAACATACAAATGATACCCCCTGCCCAGGAATGATGGATCAATGAGGTTGCTGACAACATCATATGGGAGACCCTGGCTGGAGGTGAAGCGGCTCTTTCCAGTGTAGATGGTAAAGTCACTGGTGTAGCCATTGCTGGAGTCAGCGAGCACAAACAGCTTCACGCCCCACTTGATTGGCTTTGCCTTCATATATTGTTTGAGGGCAATTTTGGCTTTTGTGGCCACCATCCTTTCATCGATGGCAATTTGCTTCCTTGGCTGCCACATCGACTTGCATGTGTCTTTTATTGTGATGTAAAGAGGTTTGAGACGATAGAGTGGGTCATAGTCAGGGGTGCCCTTTTTCCTGTCATTTTCAATGTCATCATCTGGGTTGCTCAAGTGTACAGTTCTGCTTATTGCCATGAATCTGTCTCTGGTCATGACAGAAACAGGAAAGTGTACACTAAGGTGCGAGTCCCGCCTCCAGTAGTCTCGAACTCTTGGCAGTTTCAGTAATGCCATATAAATCAAAAGCCCTATGTACTTTAGAAACGTATCAGACGTTAGCTTTTCCCAGGCTAACTTTTTTCCTTTAGACAGTTCCTTTTCTGCATTTATATTGGTGTTACAACAGATCACTCTGACAGTTGTGACACTAAAAAACTGCCTGAAGATTTGTGCCAGTGAATATGTAACACCCACAAAACCCTGTAATCCAGGGGCTCTTTTAGGGCAGAACTTTGGAAGCTGCTGTGCAGTGTCTGCCACTTCAGGTCCGTTCCATCCAGACTCTTGCTCAATTGGGCCATCAAGCACATGTGCCTTACACCTTCCAGCTCCACTTTCTCTTTTTTTCCCTTTTCCTATTATCTTTCCTGGTCCCCTTTCAGCTTCACTGCCTTGTCCTGTCTCAGTCAGAGGAGTTGGTATGGGGGGTGGATATGGTGTAGCCCTATGTCCCCTCAGCTGGAAGCCCGAAACCTCCTGGGCTTTTTCTTCAGCCTTAGGAAACCTGTTGATGAGGACTAAGGGCAGTACATACCCTTTCTCATCCTCTTTGCTAAAATAAAAAGCAAAGAATATAATTATATATGCAAATTTCATCAATCAAATATAAATAAAGAAAATACCATAATATATATATATATATATATATATATATATATATATATATATGTGTGTGTGTTTGTGTGTATATACACACACACATATATATGCGTGTATATATATATATATATATATATATATATATATATATATATATATATATATATATATATATATATATATATATATATATATATATATATATATATATATATTACTTATATGTACAGTTGAAATCAAAATAATTAGCCCTAATTTCTATTCTTTTTTCAAATATTTTCCAAATGATGGTTAACAGAGCAAGGATTTTTCCAATATTTTTTCTTCTGGAGAAAAGTCTTATTTGTTTTATCTTGGCTAGAATGAAAGCAGTTATTCACTTTTCAATATTATTAGCCCTCTCAAGCAATAAATATATATATATATATATATTTTTTTTTTTTCTATAGTCTACAGAACATCCCACTATTATTAGAGCTTAGATTGGACCCAAACAATTAAACCCAAGCCTACACTAGCACCTTGTGTCCGAGGCCGACATGGTCCAATACATTAAAGGTGCAGTAGGTGATCTGCCACAATGCTAACAGTTTAGCATATATCTCTAAATCACAGTCCCTCCCCTGCCGTCTAGAGCCGTGCCTCCTTAAACACGAACACAGCAAAAGAACCCTCTCTCATGTGTTAAAAGCTACTAGTGCTTGTTCAGCGGCGAGCAAGCCAAACTGACATGCTATTTCAGAGCGAATATTTAGAGTTGCATGGTAAACAATAAAGGGAGAGACTAGACGGAATAGCGGTATTTACTTGTGTTTTGTTGTTAAACTAATTAAAATCTACATCATCAATGCTGTAAAAGGTCCCTTATGAAACTGAAAATAGCCTTATCAATCTTTCATCGGATGATTTTATTAGTTGAACACTTCTGTAATGATATAACCAGTTTGTAACAACATCTAATGTTACATCAGCTTTGCATGAAGCTAAAATAGTTTTAAAACAGAACATTACCTGTCTAAGAGAAATCCTTCAGACATTGTGTCATCCTTTCTCCAGCGTGTAAAGGTAACTCCAATATTGATTCAGGTTTTAAAAAGTTTTGATTCAGCAGGTTTTTACCAATCTCGCGTCCTCGCCCTCTCTCGTGAACGCGCAGCACAAACAGCGGTCGGCGGAGCTGCGTACAAATGGTTGCGCAGTTGTTCAAATCTGCATTTGCTGACAGACGGTTTCACCTATTTATTAGAATTATGAGAGATGTCGGTCCGACTCTATTTAATTGGATTAATATATTTTAGTTTTATGCCTTAACCAAAATATAAAAATACATATAGACACATTTAGATCATTTAATCATTACTATTAGACTGTGAAGAGACTTTTAACCAGCACATGCTTCTGAAGACAATCACCTACTGCACCTTTAACTGTATTTATGAGGCCGAGCCTAATTTAAACTAGACTTCTTTAATATGCGAGCCGTTAAAACGGACATTCTGTTTAAACTACAGAAATTGGTTTAGATTTATCTTAATGAATAATGCAACAAGGACAAAGCATAGGCTACAAACTGCATTGTTTATTTGTTCATAATGGATAATAACAAAAAAGGCTGAATACATTGAAGGCTGATTATTATCCTTTCTGCCATGGCAAGCCTGCTTCATGTGTCTGTTCATCGTGGAAGTCCAGTTTTTTTTTTTTTTTTTTTTTGCTATAATAACAACTCTTTAACACAGCACATGCGAGCAGAGCATGTTTTTGTTTCAGTGTCCATGTTAACAGATTGTAGCTTACAAACAGCATGCAGATGCAGCGCATCAGTGCTAGATAGAAAGGTCACTAAAGGGCAGACATCTCTGCATTGCTTTGCTCTGCTTGCATGTGCGGTGTGAATATGTGCCAGTGGAGGAGATGGTGTTGTGTACACATGTAGCTTAAGCTGACTTTGCTAAAATATTCTCATAATATTTCTAATTATGCCATGGCTCTCCACCCAATTAGGCTAATTAAATAATGACAAAAAAATCTATTAAAAAATGATAAACACAAATGCTTGATCCCGCCCTAATATAGTGGCAGGAAATATTAGCCCAGCCCAACCTGGTCAAGTCTGGGCTCAGGCAGAGAATCTAAACTCTAACTGCTATACATTGACTCGCCAAATTAACTTGCCCAATAAACCTAGTTAAGCCTTTAAACTGCACTTTGAGCTGAATACTAGTATCTGTCTCTGGACAAACAGGAAATAACTAGATATAATTTAATTGTATGTTGTTTCTATGTCTGTTTTATTGTATTCTATTTTCATCTTTTATTTAAAGTTAACTTTGCCTTAAATGCGACCAATGGATCTTCAAGTTACTCAGAAAATCTATCGTGACAATTAATTGCAAAGACTTACCTTATTTTATCTGTTTAGTTTGATTTATCTATTCACTAATCTTCATCTATCCACTCTTTAATCACTTTCATTTAGGTTTTTATCTATTTTTTTTTCTCTTTTCTGTCTCCTCTATATGGAAAACTAAAATGGCCATATACTGTATGAGCATACAGTATACACAATTACTGCTAATACAAATCAACATACATGTCTTTAATTCTTTTTTTTTTTGGTTCAGATCGTTTTATTAACGATCTTAACGACAATTTAAAAAAAATATTTGAGAAAAAGACAACAGAGCTTCAACAGAGCTTCCCATCCGATTGCACCATTTCTATACAATATATTTTGAACATTTTTCAAGGTTTTACATCATATCAGGATATACACACCCACATACAAGTAGAGAAATGTTTCTTTTTATGTTCACTCATCTATTTTACAAGATTATACAAGTATATATAAACAATGAGCCACAATAGGCTTGGAGGGAAGAAAAAAAGGTGAGAAACAAATAAACAGTGGTCAAACTGTAAAAAAAATTAGGTTTGGATTTATTTGCTCTATACAGTACATGTCAGCCCTGGCAGCCAAATAAGATAACATTTTTGACTACAACTTGGAGTACCGGATCTTCTCCGTTTTAAGATGGTACATAAGATCCTTAATCCAATAATTAAAATTTGGAGGAAATGTGTTTTTCCATTTAAGCAATATAAGACGTTTAGCAATTAATGTTGAAAAGGAAATCATACTTTTGGTATTAAACTGGGATCTGTAATTAAACCAAATAATAATAATATTTTTAAAATAGGGCAATGGATAATTGTTACATGCAAAACAAATAAATAAAAATAAAAAAGGAAATAAAGAAAAATTGCCAGAACTTGGTAAGTTTAGAACATGACCAAAACTTGTGTGCGTGTGTATGATTAGCTATTTCTATTACATAAGGAATTTCATCCATTCATTTTCTTTTTGGCTTAGTCCCTTTATTAATCTGGGGTCGCCACAGCGGAATGAACGGCCAACTTATCCAGCATATATTTTAACACAGCGGATGCCCTTCCAGCTGCAATCCATCTCTGGGAAACATCCATACACACTCATACACTACCAATTTAGCTTACCCAATTCACCTGTACCAAATGTCTTTGGACTGTAGGGGAAACCAGAGCACCCGGAGGAAACCCACACGAATGCAGGGAGAACATGCAAACTCCATACAGAAATGCCAACTGTCCCAGCGAGGCTCGAACCAGCGACCTTCTTGCTGTGAGGCGACAGCACTACCTACTGCGCCACTGTACATAAGGAATTTATCATGTTGTTAATTAAAACGGTTAGAAACATATATGTAAATTGCCAAGAACATAGAGGGACTGTTGTCACATGGACTTAACATTGTTGTGACACAATTTCTAGTAGCACTGACAGAGAAATAAACAGATAAATCACTAGAATCAATCTTAACCTGGTTGTTTTTAGCATGTATTCATGCAACTGAATCAAGGCTAAATTCCCTTATTTTGCTTTTGTGCAATACCCCTGAGGTATGTTCAGGAAACCAAATTTACTATCATTATTATTAATAATATTTTGTAGTGTAATGTATTTTTTATTTGCCATGTCAGCAATCAAGGCTATTTTCATGGCAAGAACATTTCAATAATAAATACACAATTAAAAACAACAAACAAGTCGATACATTTTCCAAGAGATGGGTTGCAGCTGGAAGGGCATCCGCTGCGTAAAACACGTGCTGGATAAGTTGGCAGTTCATTCCGCTGTGGCGACCCCGGATTAATAAAGGGACTAAGCTGAAAAGAAAATAGATACACAAATAAAGGAAGATTTTTTTTTTATTGTCGTATTTTAGTTATTTATTTATGTCATATGCTCATGCCATTAAGACAAATTAGTATATAATGCGTGTCAACATAAAACTTATTTTAATATGACAGACTGCTTCAGTATATAGTCAGACACTTCTAAACATTTGTTTTGACACTATATAGTTGATAAAAAAATAAAAATGCTAAATTGTTCGAAGACAGGAGGAATGTGTGTAGTTCAGTCTTTTTTTTTCTTTTTTTTTTGACAATGGTTTAACATTTGATCCATTTCAAATGTTGACAGGATTCTAAAAGATTTTAGCACATGAGATGAGATTAGCAAACACTATTGTAATGCTGTAATGCTCTACAGCTATAAGATTTACAAAAATAACAAATATTTGATTTTCAGATTGTTTCCAATCAAGTCATATAAAAACTTACTATAAGTAATTAGAACAGGAAATGTATGCATGAACTGCAGTTGGAATGGTCAACGTATATAACAATTTTAAGGTAAATTACTGACATGTCTTCAAAAGGATCGATGGCAAAAAGGTTTTTTAGGTGTGTTTTTGTCCATGCATGCACACAAACACCTGCTTTTACTCCGTGTTTATGTTGTTCTTCTTCTTGTAAATTTAAATGGCGGTAGGCATACACCTTCAAGGTGCATTACTGCCACCTGCTGATTAGGAGTATAGGACAGGCTCAAAAAAGCTTTTTTAATCGATATACCTGAAAAAAGCATTGCCACCCCATCTGTCATCCCAGATTCCCAGCACTGATCACACAGGGTGCTTCTCAATATCCATTCTCAATATCCTCACTCCTCCATCTTCTGTCCTACGATCCGGAAACCGACCGAGCTCCACCGTCCATCTTACAGGACATCTCAATCCTAATAGGGTAAATGCCAAGCTAGTGTTTTTCCCATATTGATAAACTTCCGGTGACCTGTTATTGTGAATTTTTTATCCCTTTTATTTGGTTCCTTTTACAGCATCAATGTTGTAATGTAATTAAAATACATTCTGTTAAATAAAATTTGGCATTTATTTAGTTGTTCAAGCGTAAAACAAGACAAAAAGCCGTTTACTTGCACGCGGCCGTCAGAATCGGCAGGCAAGCGCAGAAGATCTATTGAATATACTGGTAAAATAAATGCTCATATTATAAAGACATGGCGGGGGGAAACGTAATTTAATGCAGTGCTTCTTACAATCTTAGACCTACTTTATATCAGATATCACTCAGCCAGTGGAGATAGCTGATTTTTAAAGAAAACAGACCATAAATGTGCTGATTTTTGCATTGACATACAGTTGACTGGAAGCGATTAACCCAGGTCACTGGCAAATTCAAAGTTCTATTAGCATGCTTCGGCATATACCCTATTGCACCATAAGGAGGAGAGAGGAAGTTTCATGAGGAGCCATGAGTGAGGAAACACCGGTGGAAGTGTTTTACTGACTAAACGTGACATGTCAATTTTCCTCCCCTTCACATCTGCACCAATAACCACTTGAATAATCAAACATTCATTCATTCATTTTCTTGTCGGCTTAGTCCCTTTATTAATCCGGGGTCACTACATCGGAATGAACCGCCATCCCATCCAGCAAGTTTTTTACGCAGCGGATGCCCTTCCAGCCGCAACCCATCTCTGGGAAAAATAATCAAAAATGCATTAGTAAATGATAAATATGAACTTATTGTTAAAATAGTTTGTATTTACAGTTCCAATATTATTTATGTACAGTAATAGACATTTAAGCACAAAAAAAGCAGTTAATAACAGGGAATAATCCATAAAGGCGAATAAAATATTCAGAAAACATGGTGTTTTTGGAGGATGAAACTATTAAAATGCAAATAACATGCTCTTTTGAACGAAGGCAGGGGAGGGAGGCGGGGTGGAGCGACAACGCGGGGAAGCCTTCATAAACTGAGGAGCGATCAAAAACTAAGGAGCAGGAAAGGAGGGCGGGGTGGAGCGACAACGCGGGGAAGCCTTCACAAACTGAGGAGCGATCACAAACCAAAAGAGACGAGAGCGTCAAAGTAGCCAGAAGTTATTCATTTAAATGAGAACCGGCGACGAGAAACAGCGCGGCGCGTCTTCTCCGGTGTGAGCGTTGAGGAGAGTTGATATCAAGTCAACTTTAAACTATGAGCTATGACGCGGTTCGGCTAGCAATCAGAATAAAGTAGTCCACCGCTTGAGAGGTGTTCAGAGAACACAGACCTGTGAACTTTGGTTCCGACCACAGTTGTTTCCGAGAGTTTGATTATTGCGGTTATGTGAATCCATCTGTGTGTGTCTTTCTTTCTTTCTTTCTTATCTTATTTTATTCTTTTTGTTTATTTATTTATTTCTCTCTCTCTCTCTCTCTCTCTCTCTGGAAAGAAGCACAGAAAAGCAATATTCTTTCTTTCTTCCAATCTCTAGTCAGCCATTCTCTGAGTCTAGCAGGAGCACTTTTAGCTTAGCAACAATTATTTTATTATATTAGACTGTTATTATCTCGCTCAAAAATGACCAAAATATAACTAGTGTTAGTTCTGTGTCCATGCTCACCGTATATACCCTCAGTCACTATTCCCTAAATTAGTACACTGATATAGTGCAATTGAAGGACTGAAAATTCTATAACTCAACACCGGAAAGGATAGCATTTTGTTTGTGCTTTGCTGGTTGATAAATCATTCAGATGAATTAAAACATTTCAATTTCTTCATTCAGACCCTGTAATAGTTATTTTAGTGAGCTGTCTATTAGTAATGTAACAAAGTATTTTGATTCATGTCAGTTAAAAGAGACCAATTTTGACCGGGAACACTAAGTAAGGGGCAGGATGTGAACATCATAGGAGGGTTAATAAGAATATGTCAATAACTAAATTTTGACTAAAATGTCAGATTTAACCTTATAATTCTAAGGTGACAAAATAGCACAAATGGATTTGCAATTTAACCAGGTAAACTTCACTGACCCGGTATGACTTTCGCTTTAAGATTTAAAGGGCTAGCATTGCACCAGACCCCCATAAGTGGTTTCGTTTGAAAGGTTAGAATCTATATTTTACATATGCAACACTTTGGTTTTCATTCTAATGCACAAAACGTTATTTACACTTAAATGCACAGTATTTTGGATACCCTAGCACTTCTTATCCCTCAAAACACTGATGAATTTGGTTCACTGAGGTATTTATTACTATTAAGCTAGCTGACCCCCCTGATAGTCGATGTAGAATTTGCAATCTAGTACCTGGTATGATATGTGATAGTGACATATGGGAATTCATGGCCTCCCCTAACATTGCAAACACACATCATTCGTGAAAGCATACTGGGTCTCCTGCCAACCATGACTGATGCAGGACAAAACAAACTCCTCAGAAAGCAGCTCACAAATTGCAACATCTTGCCCCCCAGCTGAGGAGACTGGAGACCTCGACACAAGCCAGACCTGCTCTGCCTCAGCACGGATCCCCAATGGCTTATCATCATTACAGTTGTAGTGATGCAGGGATTTTAGGTACTGATCATGTGTCAAAAAATCATATTGAACTATATTTGTTCCAAAAGAGGTATGGGTCCTCAGATAACCTTTTTTTTCTGAGTGTGGGTAACACTTTACAACAAAAGTGCATTAATGATGTAAATGAAACATTACTTTATTATGAACTAATAATGAGTTTAGACATGCTTATGATAAATTAACTTCAACTACAATGTGAGTTTTCAAGAGTTTAAGTGTGAATAACAGAAACCTTAATTACTTAGTAGTTCAAGTTTATTAATGAATGTAGTAATTAACACTTTATTCGCGTCATTAATGCGTTTGCGTGGGTTTTCTCCAGGTGCTTCAGTTTTCCCAACAAGTCCAAAGAAGTGGTACAGGTGAAATGGGTAAGCTAAAATTGACCATATGAGTATATGTGTGTGTGTGTGTGTATCAGTGTTTCCCATTGATGGGTTACGGCTGGAAGGGCATCCGCTGCGTAAAACACATGCTGGATAAGTTGGCGGTTCATTCCACTGTGGTGACCCCAGATTATTAAAGGGACTAAGCCAAAAAGAAAATGAATGAACGAATAAGTTTAAGGTGGTTAGAGCTAAACTATGCAGAGCTGCAGCCCTCCAGCAATCGAGTTTAAGACCTCCAGCAATTAGCTTTGAGACCATTGCTTTAAAGCTTCCTCATTGCGATTACATTAATACAGTTGGCACAGCATCATTTTACATAGTTTCTTCTAAACATTCAGCATTGAATTGTGCCTTATTGGTAAGTAATCATACAAATATGTATTATTCATTCATTCATTTTCTTGTCGGATTAGTCCCTTTTTTAATCCGGGGTCGCCACAGCAGCCCTTCCAGCCGCAACCCATCTCTGGGAAAAAAATACAAATGTGCAAATAAAATTAAGAAAACAATGGACCAAACTCTTACTGACATGGTCTGGAACTTTTATTTCTCGAGTGCACCTACTTTTTTTCATAAGGTTGGGATGTTGATGCAAAGTACATCATCTTCTGTCATCGGTTTGGTTTCCACATTGATATTCTTCACAGAACCATTAACATTAAGGAACTTTTTATTTTATTTTTTTCAGAACGCATGTGAAACAGGATTGGTGAATTATTCTGTAAACATGTTTCACCGCTTCTTTCTTTGCCAACTAGATTTATTAGTTACACATAGCCATGTATGCACATAAATATCTTGTGTGTAAATCCCTCTTCCCAGTGAGGGCTGTTAATGTTGAGCTCACAGGGATTACTTGGTGACTGTGAACGCTGCTTCGGCAGGAAGTTCCCACTGCTTTCGCTATCAGGGCGGAAAATGCATGTTTGTCAGAGATCCTAAACCTGGCACTGATTTCCGCGCCTTGTCATTCCTCAACCCTGGCTCCAGCTCTGTCATTTTATCCATATCCTTGCCTCGCTATCCATAAGCACATAGATTAGGAGACAAGCAACTGCCAAAGGGGTCCGATTGGTTTTATGTGAACCTGTTTTTACAGTGTGTCCTATGACTAATTGGGGAGTCTGTCTCTCAAAACAGTCCTATTGTTCATGGTATTATGTACCTTCACTTCCATTGTAACTGGCCTGACTGTGTTTTTTCACTGGTCTAAAACCAGACAATCCTTTAGTAAAGTAACCATTCGGAGCAAGACATCAAAGGGCATGGTATTTTGCTTCATTGTCTTGACAGGAACTTGTTTAGCTGACCAGTTAACGTTCCCAGAAAAGAGAAGCTTTTCCCATTAAAAGTTCCTTACGCAAGCTTACTGCTTCAGACTGCTAGTATTTCCAATGTCTGAGAGGCTGAAGAGTCGAATAAAGCATTGGGAAGAGTCTGATAAAGCACTGGGGTACTGTAGCTGTAACATTACGCTTTTTTTTTTTTTTTTCACCATGCACTTTACCCTTGAACCCTGTGCGCTCCAAAAAATGTTTTGGCTGCTTGTTGTTTTAAGGGGACAACTTAGTTGTTTTGTTCAATCCACCTAAATTTGTAAAAACTAA